GTCTCATTTCCGGACTCAGGTATTTTGTGAATGAAGCCGATATTTCAGTTAAAATACATAAGTAAAAATATTTATCCGAGTATAGTACTACCTCCCAACTTTATGGATGATTTTATGTATTTAATTTTACGTATTATACTTGAATAAATACGGTAAGTGCATTCTTAACAGCAGTCTTCAKGAGTTTTTCTGAGAAGTTTGATAAATATGGTCCCTGGGCTCATGCTGTCACACTTTAAGCCCTCACATACAGGTATTTATCTATGAGCATGATATTTGAAGAAAGCAAAGACAGACAGATGTGCTATTCATTAATATAAAGTCAGATTGAATGTCATGCTTACATAATGCTTTTTTGAAACGTTCAGTACTATCCTTTTTGTTCCTTTTTAATTTTACTACCTCTCTGTATTGCTCATAGCCGTGCTGAGACAAGCCACCTGGGGGAAATAACCATCATTCTGTGTTGTTTTACACTGAGACAAGCAGGGATGTGCTGTGTCCAGAGTTCTGTCACAGTCCTGCTGCAGGTCCAGAGAGACAACAATTGGTTCTTTGTCGTCCTTAATGGCGCTCCTCTCTTGAAAAAAGACTTTATTCAAGACAACTGTTTCTGAACTCTTGGACCATAAAAGTCCATCAATAGAGTTGAGTGTTAGCTCCTGGGACAAGTCAGAATAATCCATATCCCCAAGTAATTCCTCCAATTCATCTGAATGTTCGTCTCTCTCTGCATTTGCTGTAGCGCTCGTCAGATCTTCCTCTGCATTGTTCACTTCCTCCTCCAACAGAACCAAAGTAGCGATCTGAGGTCTGTAGCTGGCATATTCCAGCAGCATCGTTCTGGTATCTGGCTCTGATGAAGGGGTTTCTGCCATGGCTTGTCCTGATCCAGTCTGGGACTCTTCAACGTGGATGAAGGGGTACACCTGATCCCTGTCCTCTGAGGAGACCACGAGGATTGGAGAGAGTGGAGGATCACTGTAGGTGGACCAGATGAACGTTTCACTTCTATCATCCTGAAAAAAGAAACAGTTATTAAAGGCCTGGTATTTTTTGAATGATTGCATACTTCTACTATTCATGCCAGAAATTTAAAGATTTATCACCTTTTGATGAAAGCGAATGGAGTTATAATKTGGTAGTACATCTACATCTGCCACTAACACACTAAAGATCTGTCAAATCAACCAAGTTATAGCCTTTTTTGGTTGCTTAATGTAATTTTCCGATGTGGCCATGTTGATTTAGGGTGACTTCAAACATGCAGTGATTATTTTTTTCTTAATAAAATCCATATTTCACTAACAGATTTGGGTACCAGTTTCCAATAAGCCTCCCCTTATAGATGGTTTATAAAGAGTTTATAGATAGGTTATTAATTAATCTGTAAACACTTTATAAATCATTAATAAATGTTTATTATGCAATAATTAAGGACAAGAAAGACAAAACTGTCTTTCTTACCAAATAATGAGACAAATCTCTTCATGTACATATTACATCTAAAGGTGCTTATTAAACATTTCAGACTAGGTTACGACATTGTAAGTACAATAACGATAAGAGATATATTTTAACATATTAATATTGTACTGTATTACTGCGTTATAAATATTCACAACTGTCAAAGGGAGACTTCTCCCTTTGCAGGCTCACCGTCTCTTAATCCTTCTCGACCTGTCCTCAGCATTCGACACTACTGACCACAATGTCCTCCTCAACCGTCTCTAACAAACTATTGGACTTCACGATACTGTCCTTGACTGGTTCCGGTCCTACCTTTCTGACAGAACTGAATATGTTGCCATCGGAGAAGCCAAGTCAAAGACTCATACGGTCACTTGTGGAGTTCCTCAGGGGTCAGTTCTTGGTCATACTCTCTTCACATTATACATCCTGCCTCTCGAACAAGTCATCAGCTGCCATGGAATATCCTTCCACTGTTACGATGATGACACTCAGCTTTATATAAAAATGGACCGTCATCCATCTGCTTCTTCCTCTACATCCTTCTCATCATCACTCTCCTCACTCACAGCCTGTTTTGGATGAACAGCAACTATCTTCAACTGAAAAGCTCCAAAACTGAGGCGATRCTGATTGGCACGCCTTGTAAGGTTCAGTCATCCCCCATCACTGCCATAACCTTTTCCGCCACTTTCCACTACTGTCACCAACCTTGGTGTCTGTTTTGACCCTCACCTTTCCTTTGACACTCACGTAAAACATCTGTGCAAAACCTCCTTTTTTCATCTAAAGAACATTGCCAGTCTCATCCCATTACTCTCTCAAGTGGAGGCTGAAAAACTTGTACATGCCTTTATATCTTCATGACTGGACAATTGATTTGATTTGATTTGATTTGATTTATTTAACAGGAAAAGATTATTAAAAATCAACCCTGACTCAGCATAATTACATTTTTACAGCAGGTTCCTGTTCTGCAGCACCTAAAACACTCAGAAT